CTGTTTTGGAAATTTAATTGAGGGCCTTATCGGCCACGGAACCCGAAATTGATTACGCCATTGTGGTTGGCATAATTTTTAGGGCCTACGGTGAAATTTAATTGAAATTTGATTCTGGCCAATTTAAACTGATTAAATTGATAAATTAAGCACCCCATTATTTTATATTAAAATATTTGTTAGTGGGGCTTGTTTTATATTTGCATTGCACTCCCCTTTAGCTCTCTTAAAACTCAAAATCTGAGTTAGACAATTGAGAGGGAGAGAGAGCCGGCCATAGTGAGAGAGAGGGAGAGGAATTGTGCTAATTTGGCATAAAGCTGAGTTAGACACTTGAGAGTGAGAGAGAGGCCGGCTATAGAGAGAGAAAGGAAGGGACTTGAGCAATTTTTGGCTCTAGCTTGGGAATTTGAAGATTTAACTCAAGAATTGACTAGAATTTGGAAGATTAAAGCTCCTAGGTGAGTAACCAACCCCTAACTCATGAATTTGAGTTGTGATTTCGTGAATTGAAGATTAATTTGTGATCTAGAACATGAAAGGAGTTGGTTTTGAGGAATTGGAAGACTATATATGCATGCATGTATGTATTGTTTTGAATTTGCATATTTGAGCTTGAATTACATGACTCATGTTGCAATTTTGGTTGAAATCCATGTATTTGACCATCTTTTCATCATAGGAGATGAGAATGAAGGTTATATGTCACATGCATGTACAATCCATGGAAGTAGAAGCTTTGAATGCATGAAATGGTTACATTGGTAATGAGTTGGTGGAAAATGAGCCATGCATGTAGATAAATTATGAAATCGAGCTTCAATATGTTGTAATTCTATGTTTGTACCATGTTAGTACATGATTATGTGAAGTTTGGACCGAAATTATGCATTTGGGGGCTTTGAATTTGATGTTGGAGCTCAAGAACACATTCTGGATTTTCCAGAATTTTGATGTCCGCTCGAGCGGTGAAACTGCCGCTCGAGCGTGAATTTCGTGCTCCCAGTATTTTTGTGCAGGCTGGATGTCCGCTCGATTGGGGAAGTCCACGCTCGAGCGGGGGAGCTACTTTGGCAGGCCTTCCTCTCGAGCGTCCTATTTCACGCTCAAGCGTATTTTTGATGCAACCAGCACTTTTGCAGGCCTATAGGGTCCGCTCGAGCGGGGAAGTCCACGCTCGAGCGGGGACCCTAATTTCTGGAATTTTGTTCATGCGTTCTGTGTTTCGTTTTCCGTTCTCTTTCACTTGTAAGCACTCTTAGGCATATGTTAAACATCGTAAATGAATTGATGAGATAAAGATAAAGCCTAAAGAGGAATATGTGAATCAAAGAACGGATTGAACTGTTAATGACCCTTTTGGGTTCATGAAACGTGTAGGGTCAAGCTCCAGGGAAAATCCACAAGCCGATCACTGTGAGTAATATCAATATTCGAAAGCTGATAAGCATAAATGGACCCAAGGTCGTTTTGATGAACATGAATGAACCAAAGGTCGTTTTGATAAACTTGAATGGACCAAAGGTCGTTTTGAAATGAACGAGTGGGCCGAAGGCCGTTTTGAAATGAATGAGTGGGCCGAAAGGCCGTTTTGACATGAATGAGTAGGCCGAAGGTCGTTTGACATGAACGAGTAGGCCAAAGGAACCGAAGGTCGTTTGACATGAACGAATAGGCTAAAGGCCGTTTGACATGAACGAGTAGGCCAAATGAGCCGAAGGTCGTTTGACATGAACGAGTAGGCCAAAGGAGCCGAAGGTCGTTTGACATGAACGAGTAGGCTAAAGGCCGTTTGACATGAATGAGTAGGCCGAAGGTCGTTTGACATGAACGAGTAGGCCAAAGGCTGTTTTGACATGAATGAATGGGCCGAAGGCCATTTTGACAGAAATGAATGGGCCGAAGGCCGTCTCGACATAAGTGAATGGCCGAAGGCCAGAATGTTTAAAACTACAGTTACTTGATTTGAATTTGTATAGTTATATATATTTGTTAAATAGAAGTATGAATTGGGCCCAAGGCCGTTTGGAGCATGTTGTTCTACATATTGTTATGTAACTGTCACATCCGATATTATTTACTGGGCTATCGCTCACGCTCATTCATGTGTTTGTAGGTGAGCCAAGAGAAGTCCAGACCCAGTCTCGGTGAAGTCTGTATGGAACAACTAAGGTTTTGAGAGAGTCAGCCCTTGTGTCTCACGCACGAGACCCGTCTTCGCCCTTTCGTTATATATTTACATTTTGTCAGGTTGGCGAAGTTTTGTATACGTCTGTTTATAGTTTTTATGGGTTGACTTAGTTTTGGATGATCCTGTCTGTACAAAACCTATGTCGCTATGTTTCTGTTGTGAGTTATTAACGTACATATGTATGGTTTGTTTTGATGTGCCATGTAAGCACAGCTCTATGGACAAAGTTTTAAATTTTGCTTCCCTTTTGGCCCCTTTACTCTGATGTGTTAAGTCTGTTTTGGTTTGAGGCCGTAGGTAATCTTAGGATTACTGGCCGGTTATGTCCTTAACCATGGGGGCGGGTTCGGGTCGTGACATATATGGCCCTAATACTCAGCCTTGACTGATTGTATATCTCCATGGTCGTAGTGTTTGACACTCTTCTTGAAAAGCTGAGGAAAGATGGATTGTGTTGATGGGTGAATCCAAGCACCTAGTACCACTGATCCAAGTTATGATGGGAGATTACAATTTCTCTGATTATGGGGTGGTTCATCCACTCAATGGTTCTTGATATTGGTAAGGGCAACTCATCTATGGCTACAACTCAGGAAATTTAGGATGCTGTGGCTGCTACCTTTTCCCAGAAAGGCATTTTTTCGCAAACCTTTGAGTTGCGCCGCTCAATTAAGCGCTAAGTATAGAGTGAGATGACCATCCTTCAGTACTTTACCTCCCTCAATAATGGCTGGAAACACCTAGATCACCTTTAAGACTATAAACCAGTCTGCTCGATCAATTCTGTGGGGTATCACAAATTTATTGAGTGGAGAGGGTCTTCAAATTTTTGGAGGGTCTCAATGTGGAGTTTGATCCTGTTCGAAGTTATGTCCTTGGGATGGATGTTCTCCATTCCCTTTAGGAAGCGTTTGCTTATGTTACAAATGAGGAGAGTCGTTGCTCAGCTATACTTCCTCCTGATAACTGAGAATAAAAAAATACCTGGTTGTTGACTCTACCAGTTGGACAGCTGGTGCTGCATGCCCTATTGTTGCCAGAGGCAAGGCGAGCTCTGTTTCCAGATTAAGGTTTGTTGACTCCGCCAGCCGGACTGCTAGTGCTGCATACCCTATCGGTGTTGGAGTCAAGACGAGCTCTACTTCCAGATCAGGTTGAGGATATGCAGGCACCCCCATCACCTTTTGTCTCCATGCTTATGTGCTCCAAAGCATCAAGCTTTGCATCACAACATCAAAAAGGATAAATGGAGAAAAAAAAACTAGCGCCCAATTTAATCTCCATTGAATTGGGGAGTCTGGAAGAGATAGGTTGGGTACAGACCTAATCTACGGCAAAATATATTGAAAATTATCTTTTGCCACCAGACCTAATCTAATAATATATTTTCATTTCTAGTAACTGTTAAGTGTTAGTGTCTATGTCATCAGTGACACACCATGACATCAGCTCTATCCTAATGTTATCCGTGACATCAACCCTATTTTATGATGTAATCCATGACATAAGCCCTGATCTACTGCTACTTCATCTCATTGTAAAACATAATTCTGTATATCAATAAAATCTTCTCTCTCTCTCTCTCTCTCTCTCTCTCTCTCTTCTTCTTCTTCATCTATATATTTGACATGGTATCGAAACATGGTACACTTTCATTCTAAAATATTAAATTTAGTGATCTGAAACGATCCTAAAAGTTTTTTCCTATCAATTTCTTTAAATGTTACCTTCGGAGAAAATACAATCAAATATATGAACTAAAATCTAAGGTGAGTTAAGTTTTGACAAGACAAAAAAAATAAAAAAATTAGTCATAATTTTCATAGAAATGGGTTTGCTACATGAAAAAAAATAAAAATAAAAATAAAAATTTGGATACCTAATAGTTAAAAGAAAATTACTCTAGAAGTATCTTAAATTCTTAAATGTAATACATATAAGTCTACTCCTATCGCACCATATTTTAGAACATATGGCATACCACGTTCCCGTTCCGTTCCATGTATTGGAACGATCCACGTTCTAGGTAACATAGGTACATCTCTCTATTCAAGATCGATCTGCTTTGGTTGTGGCTCCTACCACTCATGATCCTAAGCCTAGTTCAGTTCAATTTGGTAGTAAGGGTGCCATAGGTGATCAGGATCAAGTGTGATTATTATGGAAAAGACCGACATGATTGTGAGCATTGTTAAAAATTGAATGGTCGCCCTACTCGGGGTCGTGGCCGTGGCCGTGGTAGTACAGCTCATCCACAAGCATGTGTGTCGAGATTGCAACTAGTACTTCATGTGTGCCCAGATTGCACTCATGAGTTACACTCTCAGGCGTTTGATGGCTCAGCTTGATTCTCCATCTGCCACAGTTCCTTCGACTCCTGCTTCTTCTAATTTTGCCCACACAGGTACTCCTGCTAGTGCTCTTAGTACATCCTTGTCGCCTTCTTGGATTATTGATTATGGTGCTACCGACCACATGATAGGTGCCACTAGTCTTTTCTCTACTTATTCTCCTTGTTCTGGACGGGATAAGGTTAGAGTGGCTAATGGTACTTTATCTTCTGTATTCGGCAAGGGTTCTGTTCATTGCTCATCTTTACTTTCTCTTTCATTTGTGCTTCATGTTCCTAATTTTTTTTTTGGTGAATAAGAAATAAATAAAACAGAAAGATTTACAAAATTACAAGGGGCATACCCCAAGCCCTAACAACAAAACAAAAGCACAAACCTCGGCACAAAGTCACCGAAGCCCAGCACAAACATAAAACAGATAAAACACTATATAAAATCGAGGAAGCTACATCTGAAGCTCAAGAAAGTAGAGGATGATTACTAGCCAATCGGTTTGTACAAAAGCCATATCCTGTAATGGATAGGGACTTTGTACAAATAGCAAAGCCAGCAGCCAACATCGCACCACCGCAGCAACGATTCCTTACACAACCCGTAGGGGTAGGCACCTATAACAATATTAATAACATACAAAAATAACATCCCAAAGAGGGCCATATGGAGGAACCAAGATAGACCCATCCTATCATGATTGCTCAAAAACCTATTACACAATACACCAAGATGCACAAAAGTCCTCCTACATAGCCCGTAGGGATAGGCGAAATACGCAATAAAACTATGTAAAAAATAACAAGAAAAACAACTGATTATCTCTCTCATGTAGCACAGCAAGGCGCTTGAAGCAGCCATCACCACGGTACATATACACCCTTCCAGCTGCCTCCTGAGCTGTACAACAAGCAGCCACCACCCCTCCACACCATAAGATAAACACACTGGCAGCAGCCTCCTGTAACTGCACTGATAAGAGTGGGAAAGCACTGATAGAAACCTGCAAAAGAACACCCAATTAGTAAACCCCACAAGATATGCTCACCATCACTCGACCCTCATTGTAGGTAAACTCACACCATTCATTCTTCTGCCATCTGCAATAGCATGGTGCTGCTGCATGATCTTGTAAGGTAAGTTCCATTTCTCCAAAAACCAATTATCACCTGCAGAAGTTTTAGCATTTTCCATTAAAAGAAGCCTACCCCTAACCATTTGGATAATAGAGTTAGTAACAACCTCTTCAGGTTTAAGGACCTTACTAAAGATTCTACTATTCCTCTCCATCCAAATGTGGTAGACAGTGCAAAGAAAAGACAATTTCAGAATCACCACTTTCAAGGAATTACCACTGGTGGATCTAATAGCAAAATCAACAATTTCCAACCAAGGCAAAGAAGGCCAATTAGAATTGCACTTGGCTAGAATACCTCCCCAAATCCTAGAAGAAAACACACACCTAAAAAAAAGATGGGAATGATTCTCCTTAGGATCTTGACAGAAAAAGGGCAACAAGGATTGGGAACAAGACCAAATGTTTGAAGTCTATCACCAGTATTAAGTCTCTCATTAATGGCCAACCAAGCGATAAAGCTAACCCTAGGGATTAAAGGGGGACCCCAGATAAGTTTGGACCAAGAGACTTTGGGGCCCTTATCCCTCCAACAATCCCAAGCCGACTGGATAGAAAAGGTACCATCAGCAATCAAGCTTCACACCGGAGTATCAGAAGAGCCAGGGGAAGGAAGAAGAGATGAAGGCGTGGAAGAGATCCACTCCTTTATCTCCCAAGAGTTAGAAATAGGCCACTTCCAAGAACTATTAGAGACTATAGAGCTAACCTTGGTACTTTTTTTTTTTTGGGTGAGCTAACCTTGGTACTGTCAGGAAGATTAGTGTCATATAGAATCCTAGGCCCAAACCTATGCCAGAGCGAACCAAGAGGGTGCCAATTGTCATACCAAAGAAACACATTTTCCCCATTACCAATTTTGAATTTGATGAGAGGATAGATTAAATGCCTGAGTGACAGGATTTTCCTCCAAACCCATGAAGGATCACTAGGAATCTTAACGGACCAAAAACTCCTACCTTTGAGCAAGTAAGACCTAACCCATTGGCACCACATAGAACAATCCCCACCAGAAAACAAGTACCAAACATGCTTGGCTATAGCAGCCTTGTTCCAGATTTCCAAGTCCTTAAAACCAAGGCCACCCTTATTTTTATGTCTACAGATATACTTCCAAGCAATCTTAGCACTATGTTTTTTCAACTCAACCCCAGACCAAAGAAAAGATCTAAGAATACTCTCAATGTCACCAATGATTTTCTTAGGGAGGATAAAAAGCCCAATACACTTGCATTGGGATAGACTGGATGAGTTGGGCTCTACCAGCATAAGAAAGCAGTTTATTGATCCAACTTTTAATCCTCATGGTAATTCTCTCAACTAGAACATGGCAATCAGACACTTTAAGCTTAGTAGTGATTAAAGGCACACCAAGGTATTTCACCGGGAGGGAGCCCTCAGCAAAATTGGCAATCTGAAGAATATCCTCTCTAAGCTCTCTACTGCACCCCGAGAAAAAAATATTACTCTTACTAGGATTAGGGGTAAGGCTCGACAGATTCCTAAATTGCTCCAATCCCTGCATGATATGAGTAACAGTACCAGGGTCCCCTTTGCTAAAGATCATCAAATCATCAGCAACACAGAGGTTGACAATTTTAGTTTTCTCACATCTCCAGTGGAATTTGAACAAAGGGCTCCTAGATTTCTCAGCCAATATCCTAGCAAGAATCTCCATAGCCAACACAAAGAGATACGGGGACATAGGGTCCCCTTGTCTTGACCCCCTAGCCCCTTTAAAATACCCCTGAAGGCTCCCATTAATACAAATCGAGAAAGAAGGGCTCGTGATACAAGCCTTTATCCAGGTGATCATACAAGGAGGGAAAGCCATAGCTTTAAGAATGTCAATGATAAAGTCCCACCTCACAGTATCAATCAGATTAGGAAGAGCCAATTTAAGTCTATTAGCTATGATCTTACCAACTTACTTTTTGTTAGTAGCCTTACTATTTCCCTAAACTGCTCAATGACATTTTTTTCCTACTTAATTGTGTCTTTCAGGAATTGGCTACGGGAAAAACGATTGGCAGTGGTAAAGCACATGGTGGATTATACTTTCTAGATGTTGTTCCTCCTCCATTACCATTGTCCAACACTTATGCTATTCAGTGCACTACTGGTTCTCCTCTTCCCCTACTTCATCAATGGCATTGTTGTTTAGGTCATCCATCCTTTAGTATTTTAGAAAGACTTTTTCCTTCCTCAGTTCGAGATTGTTCTAGGAAAGTTTGTGATGCTTGTGAACTTGCTAAGCATAAACGTACTTGTTATCCTTCAGTTAATAAAAGTAGTACCTTTCCTTTTATGCTTGTTCATACTGATGTGTCGGGGCCTTCTCCCGTAGTGTCTATATCTCGATATCGTTGGTTTGTCACTTTTATTGATTGTTATTCCCGTGTGACTTGGGTCTATCTTCTTCGAACTAAAAGTGAGGTTTTTTTTTCTTCTAGTTTTAGCCTTTTTCATAAATGGTACGCAATCTCTTTAATGCTACCATTAAAATTCTTAAGAGTGATAATGAGACTGAGTATGTTAATGGAGCTTTCCGAGCATGCTATGAGAAGCATGGTATTCTTTATCAGACTAGTTGTGTTGGCACTCCTGAGCAGAATGAAGTTGTTGAACGCAAGAATGGGCATCTTCTTGAAGTTACTCGCTCCCTTTTGTTTACCATGAAAGTTCCTAAGCGTTTTTGTGATGATGTTGTTCTTACTGATGCTTGTCTCATCAATCGTATGCCTTCCAGTGTCCTCCAATTCCAAATTCCTATTGCACTTCTTCATGTGGCTTATCTCACGTCTTCCCTTCCCTCTCGGGTTTTTGGGTGTGTCTGTTTTGTTCATTTGCAACCTCGTACTCGTGGAAAGCTTGATCCTAAAGCTGTGCATTGTGTCTTTCTTGGCTATTCTACTACTCAGAAGGATTACAAATGCTATGAACCTCACACTCAAAAAGTGTATGTCAGTATGGATGTCACATTTTGTGAATTTGAGTCCTTTTTTACTTCTTCTCCGCTATCTTCTCCGGGAGAGAGTGTTATGGATGAGATGATGTCATATCAGCATGAGTTATCTTTTTTCACTCCTAGTCAGCGAGCTATTATTTGTGGTAAGGGGAAGCCTAAGAGTGGTTTTGGTGTTGAGCTTGACATTGGGGGCCATTTGGACAAGGTTGATTTTAAGACTTATTCACGACGCCAGAAAGAGCAACCATCCCTTGTGCCACCAATTCAATCACCATCACTGATTCTACAGGTAATTTACCTCATTCTATTTCTTCATCAGTAGTTGACAATCCTGTTATTGATGATTTGAGTCTTCCTATTGCTATTAGAAATGGGGTTAAGGCTTGTACTGAACACGCTATTTCTAAATTTGTTTCCTATGATTCATTGTCTCCTGTGTATATCGTGCTTTTGTTTCGTCTCTATCTTCTGTGTGTATCCCACGAGGTTGGAAAGAAGCTGTTAATCCTAAGTGGAAAGGAGCTATGGTAGAAGAGATGCAAGCCCTAAGCAAGAATAATACATGGGAGTTAGTCTCTCTTCCAAGTGGAAAAAAATCAGTGGGATGTAAGTGGGTGTTCACCATTAAGCAGAAGGCAAATAGGACAAACAAAACTAGCGGCCAAGGGATATGCTCAGACATATGGAATGGATTATCAAGAAACCTTTGCTCCTGTAGCAAAGATGAATTTCATTCAAGTCATTCTTTCATGTGCAGCTAACTTGGGGTGGCCTTTGCAACAGCTAGATATGAAGAATGCCTTTCTTCATAGGGATTTAGAGGAAGAGGTTTATATGGATGTGCCGCCAAGATTCTTCTCTCAGTCTACAGTTGGGAAAGTCTACAGGTTGAATAAAGTGTTATATGGTTTGAAACAGTCTCCTCGGGCCAAGTTTGATAGATTTCTGAAAGCAATATTGAGGTTTAGGTATAAGCAAAGCAATGCAGATCATACCATGTTTGTCAAACGCAATGCAAATAAGGTAACTATGCTTATTGTATATGTGGATGATAAAGTTGTGATACAGAATAATGAAGATGATATGACACATCTGAAGATGCAGTTGGCCAAAGAGTTTCAGATCAAAGATCTCAGCCAATTGAGTTACATTCTTGGAATTAAAGTTGTCGTATCTAACAAAGGCATCTTTATTTCTCAAAGGAAGTACATTCTAGATCTTCTTGAAGAAATAGGCATGTTAGGTTACAAACCAGTTGATTCACCTATTGAGGTTAACCTGTGAGAATATTAGGTATATGTATATATAGTAGAATATACATTCTGTATATATTAGGGATTGAGCATATAATTTTGTTTCCTTTCTTAGTTCTAGGGTTCGGATTGTTATATATACTGATGTATTCTTGTATAAAAAACACAACAGAATATACGAATTCTCTCAGAAAACTTACATGGTATCAGAGCTTGGTTAAAAACCCTAGGTTTGACATCAACCCATCAGGTTCAAAGTTGATCTCTTAGTTTGAGATTGTTCTAGGAACACTTTTGTTTGTGATGCTTGTGAACTTGCTAAGCATAAACGTACTTGTTATCCTTCAGTTAATAAAAGTAGTACCTTTCCTTTTATGCTTGTTCATATTGATGTGTCGGGGCCTTCTCCCGTAGTGTCTATATCTTGATATCGTTGGTTTGTTACTTTTATTGATTGTTATTCCCTTGTGACTTGGGTCTATCTTCTTCGAACTAAAAGTGAGGTTTTTTTTTTCTTGTTTTTGCCTTTTCCATAAAATGGTACGCAATCTCTTTAATGCTACCATTAAAATTTTTCGGAGTGATAATAAGATTGAGTATGTTGATGGAGCTTTCCGAGCATACCTTGAGGAGCATGGCATTCTTTATTATGCTAGTTGTATTGGCACTCCTGAGCAGAATGGAGTTGTTGTAGGGACTGAGCTAATTGGCTCTAAATTTGCCTCTAGGGTCGTGGATAGGGGTTTGATTATCCTTCAACACCAAATTTTCTTCTTTCAGATTCTGGGATATTATTTTTTTTCTAAATGCCTTAGCAATCCTGCATTGATACCTTATCCTCGACATTTGCCCCTTGTGGGGCATAGGTCATTTTCCAAAATGTCATGATACCAAGGATTTTCATCTTTAACTCCTACTATTGTGGCTATCATCTGCTCTATGAGGATCAAACGCATCTTGACCCCAATCAGTATATCCACCATTAAAGCTAAGGTTATGAAAGAGTTGACAAACCAATTATTCATTTTGACTAGGTGGGTGACTAAGCTTGAATTCCTGATCACACCCAACCTAGGGCTGCTTCCAATCCAGCTATACAAGCCTCATACTTTGCTTGATCATTGAACATTCTGAATCAGGGTTTGAAAGCTAGGGGGGTCGAGTCCCAAGGTCGAGAAGGATCCTATGCTATACAATCTCAAGATCAATTCCAAGCATGTCTTCGTAGGACCATGCAAAAACATTTTTTGAAATCTTTTAATAAAGTGACTAATCGCTCATGCTCTTCTGAAGATAATGTAAAACCAATCTGGACCGAGCCAGGACCCTTCTCAATACCAACATTAACAAAAATGATCTCATCCATTGAGGGCTTAACACGTCTCTTTTTCTCTCAGTCGATCATTTTTTTCAAATCCCGATGAATTCCTTCCTCTTCGTTTATATCAAAATGTTGGAAAAAAATTTGAAAATTTTTTGGTCAATGCAATGATTTAAAGGCACAGAGAAGTAGGCAAAAATTACTGCATTAGAACTTTTTGGCTCAATGGTTGAAACAGACTCAAAAGCAAAAGAAAAGACAGACAAAGAAAAGACAATGATGTTTGGGTTATCGCCCTCGAAATCACCAAACTTAGACGTGCTAGAATGACTCGAGCCTGATCCCAACTCTACAAACTTGAAGGAATCAAACATAGACTCAACACTCAATTTAGGGCTGGTCAAAATGAGGTGTCTACATTTACCCACACAAGTACTCTTGCTAGTGCTCTTGGTACATCCTCGTCGCCTTCTTAGATTATTGATTTTGGTGCTAACGACCACATCACAGATGCCTCTAGTATTTTCTCTACTTATTCTCCTTGTTCTGGGTGGGATAAGGTTAGAGTGGCTGATGACAATTGATCTTCTTTCTCCAGCAAGGGTTCTATTCATTGCTCATCTTTACTTTCTCTTTCCTCTATGCTTCATGTTCCTAATTTTTTTTGACCAACTTACTTTTTGTTAGTAGCCTTACTACTTTTCTAAATTTATCAATTACATTTTTTATTGCTCATTGTGTCTTTTAGGAATTGGTTACGAGGAAAATGATTGGTAGTGGTAAAGCACATGGTGGACTGTACTTTCTGGATGTTATTCCTCCCTCATTACCGTTGTCCAACACTCAGGCTCTCCAGCGCACTACTGGTTCTTCTCTTTCCTTCTTTCATCAGTGGCATCGTTGTTTAGGTCATCCGTCCTTTAGTATTTTAGAAAGACTTTTTTCCTTCCTTGGTTCGAGATTGTTCTAGGGACACTGTTGTTTGTGATACTTGTGAACTTGCTAAAGCATAAAAGTACTTGTTATCCTCCAGTTAATAAAAGAAGTATTTTTCCTTTTATATTTGTTCATATTGATGTGTGGGGGCTTTCTTCTGTAGTGTCTACTTCTGGATATTGTTGGTGTTTCACCTTTATTGATTGTTATTCCCGTGTGACTTGGGTTTACCTACTTCGAACTAAAAATGAGGTTTTTTCTTGTTTACGTCTTTTTCATAAAATGACACATAATCTCTTTAATGCTACCATTAAAATGCTGCGCAGTGATAATGGAACTAAGTATGTTGATGGTAT